AAGAGCCATGCTGGCAGCTGTGGGGAGCCGCGGCAGACCCTCCACCTGCCTTGGCTGATGGGCCCAAGCAACTTGATGCCCAGTGTCCCAGCCCCCCACCCAGGGCAGGCGGAGGGATCCAGGCTCCCCACAGCTGCCAGCGTGGTTCTCCCTGACCCGACTCCGGCCAGGGTGGGCAGCTCAGAGCCAGAGCCCAGCCACAATAAGAGCCAGGCGGACAGCTGTGAGGTGCCGCAGCAGACCCTCCACCTGTCCTGGGCTGGGGGCCCGAGCAGCCCCCGACCCGTGTCCCTGTCCCCCTAGCCAAATGTCCCAGCCACTCTGCCTAGTGTCCCTGCCCCCCAGCCCCTCCGCCCAGGGCTGGTGGAGGGACCCAGGCTCCCCACAGCTGCCAGTGCGGCTTTCCCCAGTGCAGCTCTGGCTGGGGCAGCTTGGAGGTGCAGCCTTGCCATGGTAAGAGCCGGGTAGGCAGCTGTGGGGAGCCACAGTGGATCCTCCACCTGCCCTGGACATGGGGCCCAAGCAGTCCCCCACCCAGTGTCCCTGCCCCCAGACCTCCTGCCCAGGGCAGGTGGAGGATCCGTGCTGCGGTTCCTCACAGCTGCCCGCCCGGCTCTTACCATCAGAGCCCTGCGTGAATACAAAATTTGTATCTGAATCTGTGCTATCTGCAGAAACGATCCACAGATATAAAGCGGATACCCATGGTTTTGCAGGGCTCTAACTATTTCCACTACTCTTGCCCTAACTTCAACCCCAGATACCTCATCTCTCACAGGTTCTCAGAATACTAAAATGACCAGTACAGAGAACATCTAGAAAGATGGAGCTTATGTACTGCACAGTTAGCAAACAAACATTTAAAGACAGCTAAGGTTGCAGTAGGATAAACCCCACCCATATAAAACCTTAAAAGTAGGATGGCTAAAAATTAGTGATAAAAAAGAATCCAATTTTTTTTGTTTAAATTACATATAGATTTTTTTAAAGTAAACCATTAAAAATAGATACCTTATGTTAAGGCCTAACCTTTTAACAAATGATTAAAATTATTTACATTAAATACAAAAATAATATTAAGCATTTTTGCTGCCATATTTTAAAGAAAGTCAGTCCACTGAAATGGTGGAAGTCACGGGCTAAGCCTCTGGAATCAGAGTTTGCTGAAGTGCTAAACTAGCTTTTGACAGCAGTAGCCTATTTGCAAGTGCAGAGAGAATATTTTCTCTATTTCAGTTTATTCAGCTAGTTCAGTTCAATGACAAGTTCATTTAAAGTTGAGAAACCAATTGGGAGTTGAAAAAGAAGGAAAGCTTGCTATCCTCTTCCAATCTATGAATAAAAGCTAGGTGTAAGAGGATGAGATCTACTAGCTCTAAAATTTTGAAGGATATGGTGGCCAGAAACAGTCAGTTCAATTCATTAACTACAGATAATACTTCCCTTCTTTCATAAATCAGTATGTTTTAAATGCAAAACATGTCTAAGAAAAAAAACTTTGTATCTAGCACAGTGGTTTTCAAACTGTGGGTCGTAGAATGTTAGGCACTGAATTGTGGCGGCTCTGGTCAGCACCGCCGACCAGGCTGTTAAAAGTCCCATTGGCAATGCTGCCCGGCTAAGGCAGGCTACTTCCTACCTGTTCTGACACTGCAATGTGCCCCAGAAGCAGACAGCAGTAGGTCCAGCTCCTAGGTGGGAGGGGCCACAGGGCTCCGTGTGCTGACCCCACCCTGAGAACCAGTCAATGGGAGCCGGGGGGGGGGGGGAAGAGTGCCTGCAGTGCCTTGTGTGCCTCCACAACCTGCTGGACCTGCTGCTGGCCACTTCCGGGGTGCAGAGCGATCCGCAGTGCCAGGACAGGCAGGCAGCCTGCCTTAGCACCCCCCTGCACTGCTGCCTGAGGTAATCCCGTGCCCCAATCCCCGGCCCTGAGCCCCCCCAAAACCTGGAGCTCAGTCCTGCACCCCAAATCCCTCATCCCTGGCCCCACCCCAGAGCCTGCATCCCCAGCCAGAGTCCTAAACCTGTCCTGCACCCTAACCCCCTCCCACTCCCTGAACCCCTCATTCCCAGCCCCAACCTGCACTCCAACCCTCTGCCCCAGCTGTGAGCCCCTCTCATACCACAAACCCCTCATCCCCAGCTCCGCTGGGTCGAGGGCATCAACAATTTTCTTCAACTGGGTCGCCAGAAAAAAAAATTGAAAACCACTGATCTAGCACATTTAAGGTAGTTTTATTTAATGTTTTTAAAATCCTGTTTTTGTGCATTTTTAATTGAATTTGAATATCCATCCAAATAGAGGCTGAGACAAATCACAAGTAAAAAAATTAGTCATCTAGTAAATAAGAAATACATCATTCACCATTTTCCAATAGAATAAAAAAGTAAACATTAAGAATCTGAATAAATGCAAGTTAAGCTATACAACTGTTTAAATAAATGTGCACAGATATAGTGTATCTTCCTGGTTAGCAAAAAGCAGCACAAATTTAGTGAAAAGGCCCTATTTAGCTCCAAATTCACTTGTTTTAATGGTTAACAACAAATAAGAATAAACCTTTCTTTAAGGTTTATAACTGAAGTAAAAATGCAAAACACAATTAAATTAGATTATTTAAACCAAGGTTCCTACTTGATGATTTAAATCGTTTTGATTTAAATCAATCCTTCCTGCTTAGAAAAATGGAAAAAACTCATACATTCTTTTCCACCTTTATATTGCTACAACAATTTCCCTAAGGCTTTCACTTCCACTTTCCAACTGACAGCCAAAAGCAATACATACCCTCTACTTCATCAAATATGCACTCAACACAAAACCTTAACAATGACCTCATATGTTTTTATATCAACAGATTAAAACATCTGACTATCACACATTCTATGCATTTGGGAAATTATTTTGCCTCAGCCCTACTGAGGTCAATGTTAAGGTTTTGCATTAAAGTGCCAGTTCGAAGCCTGGGCACATATTTTGGTGAACCTGAAAGTGTGATGGCTGCCATCTTGGCCAAAACCAGGCATTGAACAGATGACCTCCAGAACTAAAAGCATTCTTGTGTTAAAGAGCGAGGCTCTCAGAGCTGTCACTGACTTGCATCCACAGGTCAACACACACACTGACTAACGGGTGACACAAGCAAAATGTGTAACAAATTACTGAAATGTATATTTCAGCAATTCACGCCATAGTTTACAAATCATAGTTTTCAAAGTACAAAATTGGTGGTAAAGTGGTCACATGAATCCTGGATTCTATAATTGGTTCTGGGAGGCGTGTGGTGTATAGCGATACAGATAGGATAACAAAAACTGGTTTAGTCACTGTGAAAGGCAGTGAATAAGACTCGGTTTTGTCATGTTGGAGACCTAGGTTCTATGCCTGTAATGACTTTGCATAAGCCCTACTAACTTGAAAGGGGAGAGGTAAGACGACGAGTGTTTAGTAGCTCTTCCCTTTCTCCCAGGCTGGGGTTCGTACTTTCAATCAATAATAAGGGGCTTTAAACAACAGTTAGCAGAGATGAGATTTCAATTCCTGAACTATTCATTTCCATGTAAGTGACTAGTATTACTGGGCATCCCTAAATCAATCAGACAGGAAGAGCAGGCTAATTAGAAAGGGCCACTACTGACATGACTATCTAAGTCAGTAATCATAGGAAAGGAAATCAAGAAAAAACACATGATGCTTCAGTGAAATTCTGGTAAAACTCAGATGTACACATTATACAAATGAGCTACAGTCACATTCAGAAGTTTAGCTTCTTAAAACTCTTAACTTATTTTACTATTGTTAGCTTTGCAGAGGCAACACAGTCATGAAAGCATGAGCTGGAGTCTACTGTAGCTTATTTATCTTCAAAATTGTCAGCTAAATTTGAGTTGTAGAAATTTCATCCCACTGGAACACTCAGCTATTACAGTGACAGATGCTGCTGAAATGAAAACAGTTACAAGTAGTGCTGAGAGAAACTGCAGGAATGCAGCTCAATTTAAAATTCCAGGTTTAGTTAGACAAATCATCTTTTAAATTTGCAGTTTGAGCAAATCAGCAATGTAAGCCACTGAATAAAAAATGAATACGAACCACACAATACCACTTTTCACAAAATCATTTTTCAGACTGCATAAGAAATTTACCTAATTGGAGTGGCAATATAGTAGAGTGGAAATGTCACTGAACTGGGAGTCAAAAGACTGGATTCTATTCCCCGCCATGCCAATGACCTGCTATGTAATTTTCAGCAAGTCATTTCACCTCTGTTTCTGTTTACATTTTGCTTACGCTGTACGCTCTCTGGGGACAGGCATTGCCTTTTTATTATGTGTTTGTGCAGTGCCTAGCACAATAGTGCTCTGGTCCATGACTGGAGTTCCTAGGTGCTAGTGCTACCTTATACAAATAACTACAGCTGGAGTTCTTAAGTTTAATATCATGGAAATATTTATTTTAATCTAATTAGACCATTAGCAGCTGTTTAGAATGTTGCTATTGCAGCATTTTAGCAAAAATACTAACATCTGAGATCCATGGTCCATAAAGGTGGAATTAAGAGAGAACACTTCACAGAACTGGGTACAGCAACTATCATACAAATAAAAGGGAAAGACGTATGGGGAAGGAAAAAATAAGATGAAGCTGACATATAGAAGTATTTTCCTACTAGCTATAGTGAGTGAGTGAGGAAATGGCAAAGAAGCAGAAAAATTAGACTTAAGATGAGATGTGAAAAAAAGATGTTATTAAGATAAATACCCAGAACAAGTGAACAAAAATGAACAAACAAACTTAGAGGAAGGTGACAGGGAGGATGTAGACTGGAGAAGGGGAGACTGGAGAGCAAGTCAATTCAGTCTAAATTAAGGGTAGCACGGAGCAAATCCATGGAATGTTTTAAAAGCTTGACGTCTGATCCAGCTTTCCATTGACTTCAGTGGGAGTTGGCTCAGGCCCTAAAGTTTTGAACTACACAGAAAACTGATACACTCACCCCAACTCTGCCATGCCATCTACAAATTCCTTTTTACTGAATTCACATTGAGTGGCTGCCCTGAATTTCCATGCTATGACCAAGACGCTGATACTGGCAGGGTCCAGGCTTAAATCATCACAAAACTGCTGAATTCCATCAATACCAATTTTATTTTCATCCTGTGGGTCTGCAGTCAAAAATATAAAAAGTATTACAATACATATTAAAAACTTCCCTTCAGACTAATGATCTGAACAGTTTTGATATGCTGCAGTGCAGAAGCTATTGTATGAGTACTTCTCAAATATATTCATTCTTAATTAGGACATCAATTTGAAATCTAGTCTAGTTCAAAAAGTGAGTTAAAAGTTATATCTTCCAAAGACCCCCTGCCAATTTTTGTGGGTTTTTTATTAGTTTTTTAAAAATAACGATTACCCCTTAGATATTTTTCCCTTCTCCCCATTGCTTTGTGAAAGACCCACAAAAACAACAGGTGGAACTGCCTAACTATAGGGAGGAAATACTGAAATTGATTATACTCAAAGTGCTATAAAATGCACAAGAAGATAAGGCATTTACAGGTTAGAACACTGCAACAGGTGAAGGAGAAACACCAAATTTGGCCTACAGATTCGTTATCCTGGTAGTGATGTATGAGAAGGGAAGAATTTATCTAAATGTCAGAGCCCAGGGTTAATTTAGGAGGCAGGAAGTGAGGGGTTGTTTTTTTGTTTTTTGTTTGTTTTTCTAATACTTGCAGAGTGACCAAATCAGTGAGACACGATATTTATTTAGTGCCTAGCACAATAGGCCTCAACCTCGATGAGGCCATTCAGCAGCACTGTGACATACATAACTGTTTAATAAGAAGTGGTTACTACTTAGGATAGAGCCACACATTGTAATTGCCAGTGTCAGTTTATGTCACTACCATAATTATAAACATTTAAATATGGAAAACTAAATCCAACAAAAAACCCCAAACAAACAAACCCCCCAAACAAATCCTTCATGAAAATTATATTGGATTTTTAATTAGTCTGACCCTAAGAAATTATTAAAAAGCAGTTACTGTACTATAGAGGCATGGCAGCTATTTTATTTTGCTATAGAATATCAATTAGACCAGGGGTTCTCAAACTGGGGGTCAGGAGTCCTCAGGGAGTCACAAGGTTATTATATGGGGGGTTGCGAGCTGTCAACCTCCACCCCAAACCCTGCCTTGTATCCAGCATTTACCATGGTGCTAAATATATAAAAAAGTGCTTTTAATTTATAAGGGGTGGGGGGAGGGAGTTGCACTCAGAGGCTAGCTATGTGAAAAGGGTCACCAGTACAAAAGTTTGAGAACCCCTGAATTAGACTATAATACAGGAGTCTCTTAAAAATGTACTATGGTTACAAACACATAAGTAGTATCCTCAAACTTACCCTTCTATTTTTCATATACAATATGTACTACTCAAAATACATAACTGTTTTCCCCAAATTTAGATGCAACAAGTCCTATGTCTTTCTATAATTACAATAGCTTACTATATTGCAGCTACAATTAAAATGCAACTTAAATATTCTTTTAAGTTTCATATTTTGGATAACTAACTGGTAAAGACTTCAACTGTTCCATTCTTTATTAGACCCTGATCTTGCAAGATCAGGGCCTTAAAATGCAGCTTCATTTTAGCATCACCCAGAGGTTTCTGAATGACTAAAAATTAAAAGTAGCCAATAATTAAATAAGGATTTGATGCAACAAACAGTTGCTACTTGCTTATCTTTCTCCCGGGTGTAATTCCATTGAAATCGATGGAACTGAGCGTTGAAGGAAAGAGTAAAGCTATCTAGTGTGTTTTAAGGATCAGGCTCCAAGAGAATATCTTGATTTATTAAGTTTTAAAATTATTCTTAAAATATTTTAGTGAAATTGTGTCTCCAGTGAAGTCAATGATAAAACTCCCACTGGTTTCAAAGAAGACAAGATCCCACTCTTAGCGTTATTATTCACATATCTGGGCAACTGAGGGAATAATAAAAATGAACATGCATTGATTTGATTTGGATGTTATTAATTAAATAAGCAAAAAACACTTAAGAAAGGATAGTACAGTTGGACAATGAAAGATGTGTCATCTCACATTTCAAACATGATGGCATCTACACATTTTTCTTCAGGTTCTATAAGCAAACCCTTTCTAAGGGCTTAAAAAGGAACCCTGGCCAGGCAGCTAACATACAAAGTTTAGTTTCTGTTTAACAAAATAAAAAGGTGTTTAAAAATACTAATATGAATAGAAAAGGAGTACTTGTGGCACCTTAGAGACTAACCAATTTATTTGAGCATGAGCTTTCGTGAGCTACAGCTCACTTCATCAGATGCATACTACACGGCTGTTACTCTGAAACCTGTCAATATGAATAGAAACGCTTTCATGATGAATTTTTTCCTTATTAATTTATCTGAAAATTTGTTTAGATTTACATATGCCCTAACAGCATTTTCAGTCCTAACAACATTGCAATATTGTGCTGATGCATGAAAACAACAAAACTGACTAGACTATTTTCTTTCACCAAAGTTAAATGAAGTAGAAAAGTAAACAGCACAAATAATGAAAGCTAAATAAGATTCATAAAATTCCTTCAGTATTCAACTATAGGTAACCGTTCAGGATTTTTTCATATATATTATATTTAACCTCAGCATCCTTTAAAATTGGCAAACAAAAGCCAAGAAAAGGACTGATATAAATAAAAGCAAAATTAAACCAAGTACACACAAATGTTCCAGTTTTGCCGGAATCTCTGTGCTCCTACAACTCAATGCAACCTTTTGTTTTTAAAATGAAATTTTGAAGATCATCTGTCTGTAATATGGAACAAGACTTTATGGTGTTTAAAACCTTTCAAAATAGTGTATTTATTAATATGAAAGAGACTAATGTACATACAAAGTAATTTTGGAAAAAGCATAACCATACAGTAGGTTTACAAAGGATTTAGACTAGACAAAAGTCTGGTCAAATATCCATTTAAAAGAATTTCTAGATGAAGATTTAGATTTTAAGCAACAGATAGTAATGATCAGAGCTGCTTCATTCTATTTATTAAACATTTACATGCATTAATATAAAATATTAACATTTCAAAAGGAGCTCTTACACTGGATCACGTCAATTCTTACACTTCCATGGCCATTTTTTCCCCTTTTATTTTTCCTCTTCTTTTAAACACTACCATAAAATAAAAAAGAAATGGAAAATAAAACACAACTCCACCTTTAATTCACTTCCTTGTGAGTATGTTTTTCCTAGCATATCTAAACAGCAGGTGGTCTGGCATATCGTTTATGATGTAATATGCAAGCACAAAGGGTAAATTAAGGATGGAGTTTCAACCTTAATTCTGAGTTTCCTTGCTTGATAGTGTTATCAGACCCTTTCTTGTAGCTGAAAGTGTTCTTGTGGTTTAAAATAAAAGATTACCCCCTTTTATCTGAACTATACTTAAACATTTAATAGAGAAATTACAGCCATAATTTTACCATGCAAAGTAACATCACATACCAAAATTCCTTAACAAATGTCATGGACAAGAGATCAAATACAATGCATAACGTGCTTGTACAGAGCCATGGTCAAGTCCAAAAGTAACTGATTTTAGTCCATTTTTTCCTAACTTCATAGGCAGTAGTTCCTATTGTTAAGGTGTTCTATAGTTTATAAAATAAAATTTTGGACTTCCGTAGTGAACGTTATAAGACATGCAAGAAGAAGAAGAAAAACCAGCCTTACATTCCAGAGAACCTCCTATTACAGCTTCATACAGATAGACAATTAAAAGTAGGATATTGCATTAGCAGTCTTAAAAGATGTCATCAGTGGCAAAAATGTAAAGTAGAAACGTAATTCAAATGAAATAGTGAAAAAAAAAAGTGATCCTTACCTTTGTACCTGTTATACAATTGTTCTAATTTCTTTCTGTCTACTGAATTTTTCATGGATTCTTTGTAGTACAAGTCTGGGTTCTGGAAGTAGTTGTCTGTTGCCACTTCTAGTTTCCACTCATTCTGCATTAAGCAATATATAGCAGTCCTTTCACCAGCCTGGGTAAATGCCATAAACTGGCGGACCTTGTCCTTCTGAGACGATTTAAGCTTATGCTTTGGGATGCAAAAGAAGCAGGAAAGCCAATGAAGCTAATCCAGAAGTTTGTTTCAGCATTCTACTACTAATGCCTATCTTTTAAAGGGGTTTAGTTTTCTCCGTGTGTGACAACTTTCACTTCAGAATTAAAGGAAGACAAAGCCTTGCTCTTCTGCAGTTAAAAAGGCAGCACTTCTGGAAACTGAAATGACAGCATCTGTATGTACATTTTAGTAGCAAATATTCTGGCAAAAATAAATTCAAATTTGTGTTACTGCTCACGTACACACAATTGTTTTGTACGAAAACTGTTTGATCTCCAGATATTTCCCATTAAATTCAGAATTTATTTGGTTATAAACTCTAAAATACTATTGTTATGACAATCGGGTCTATTTGCTGAAAATAAGTCTACCATTAATGATAAAATACATTTCAAAGGTATGAATCATACAAAAATCAGAGATTCTGTAAATAAAGGCCTTGAGAAATATCTGAAAAGTTTAACAGTTGACTTAAGAGTTTTCCTAATTAATTTCTAGTGCTAATGAACAATAGTGTTTTCCAGTTAATTATTTAAGACAGTTAAAGTTACAAAGCACTTTTCAATTTTAACACTGGGAACTGTTCATTGTTGCTTTCAGAAAAAGTGAACTCAAAAGAAAATAAAACTGGTAAAGAAGCCAAGCAAGAAATTTACTCATTATTATGAGTTTCCAAAAAGTTATTGTAAATCTAATCAAAAGCTTTAATATGTTCTGACAATAGAAGAGATGTTTATATCAACCAATGCAATTGGTTACTTTGTTATTCAGTAGAAAATAGGGCTTATACGAAACATGAAATGTTTTTCTCAATGGCAATGAGTTGCGGCAAACCATAGCTCTACATTCCCAGAGTATACTTCTGAAGAATACAGGAATGAGGGGAAAGAGGTTTGAAAGAGAGCAAAAATCTGCTACCAATGTGTTTTACCATTATTCTCTGCTGTACTTAAAGTAACTTTTTAAAAACCAAACTCTCTTTGGGTTTCAATACATCTGTTTTACTCATCATAGTTAGTACAAGTTATGTTTCTGGGTAGATAACTAAGTTATCTGGGTAAACACTTCATCATCTGCTCACCCTAGTATTTAAGTCAACAGTGTAAAGCGATGCATTGACTTGCTGATCCCTGAGTACTAGAACAAGCTGTTATGATGTATTCTACTGCACATCACTGTTTCATGTTCAATGTGACACTACAGTATAAACATTCATACATCTTCTAGTCCACCCTTATCTCTTTTACACACTCTACATATAGTCATATCATTAAAAAATTATTGCAGATGGTCATATAAGACAAGAAGTGCATCATACGCAGAAGATACAGATTTCATTCTTTCCTTCATAAAGTTATTTTCTAAATATTGAAAAACTACAGAAAAGGATACTCATAAAATGGGAACACCTTGATAGCCACAGAAATAATTGCAATTGATTTTTCAAAGGAAACGTTAAATTATCTTTGTTGTTTCCCTACTGGAGATACTGTGTACATCTATTTATATTTTTAAAAATCCTAAATTTTCCTTGAAGTGGAAATATATCAAATCTTACTACAATAAAATCTTGTGTACACATTTAAACAAGTGTCTTTCTAAGTTACAATTAATTTAGTGTTGGGTCACTTCACAATAGGAATCTGTGATACAACCATGACAACTAAAAGTTTTTAGAGACAAGGTGGGTGAGGTAGTATCTTTTATTAGACCAACTTCTGGTGGTGAAAGATACAAGCTTTCACCACTAGAAGTTGGTCCAATAAAAGATATTACCTCACCCACCTTGTCTCTCTAATATCCTGGGACAACATGGCTACAACACTGCAAACTAAAAGTTATGTCATATATATAAGTTCTACAAACTTCAAGTAACCTGTGTCTCTTTTCTGCTTCAAAAGGACAGAGATGGAAAAAGATCATTCACTTTACCTCTCTGCCAATGCAGAATCGTTCTCCAAAATACAGTTTAAATTACATACGTGAACAGAGTCTTTATTTTTAAAAAAGATATATAGAAATCATTTTTTCTAGCATGTCTTCTTTCTAAATGATCACAACATAGTATGTATATTTTGTAATAGGTCACAATGAGGTGACATGCTTTATGTACTCTGACTTGAAAACTACAATCTGGCTCATCACCACCACTTTAAAAATTGTTAAAATATATCATCTATTGAAAACAGATGTTGCAAGATAAGGCCTAATTTGGACTCTTTGTAAAATAGCTTTGATCACCTTTTTATTAATTGTAAATTCCTATTGCTTTTCTGGGCTTTCCAATTATGCACTTGCACAGCGGTGATGGCCTTGGAATGTTGCTCAGTGGGACATAAACCTGCTTTCTTTTGCATGTGCAAATATATATTCCCCCTATACTCAATCAAATGTTTATTCCAATAACAATCTATACATGCATTTCCATTTTGCCAATCATAGTCACATCTAGGTGCCCAAATACAATTTAAGCGTTGGTATTATCCTGCTAGAACTGTTTCCAGTGCAGTGGATTTGTACTCGCTAGGCTCACTTTCTCTGGGGACTGTGGTGGGCTGGAAGAAAACTTGCTAGCTCAACTACGGCAGCCTTTCCTGAGGAGAGTGACAATACCCTTCTTTGACAGCAGTTTATGGAGTCACAGTTGTGATTTCACAGTTAGGGCTGAAAGAGGGTTTCCATATCATGGATGATTTTTCATTCTCGTCTAACTTTCTTTCCTAACAAAACAACAACACCGAGCACGTCAGTGAGGAACGAGGGTGGCGGAACCACTCCAAGAGATTTGGGGGACGGAGGGAGTTCCCCTGGAGCTCCCTCAACCACCTTCCCCACGCTCAGCACAGACACGTGCAGCACAAACGCAGAGACACCCCACAAGCCGACTTAAATCGCCCCCTCTAGCAGGGAGCTCCTCGGTGCTTCCCAAGGCCCCGCGAACTCCAGGCCCCACCCCCAACAGACGGACACCGGGAGAGGGAGGGACTCGGCTCCAGCCACCTGCCCTGGAAGCCCAAAGCCCAAAGAAGGGCAAGTACGTGCCGCTGCTGCCAGGCTCAGCTCTCAAAATACCCACAGCCTCGCTCCTCCCCGCCCTCTGCAGGACCCTGCCGGCCGGGCGCCTCACGCCGCGGGCTCTGCCCCCCAGCTCCGCTGGACCCTCACTACCCCCCCCGGCCCTGGCGGGGCCCCCCCGCGCTGCTCTGTCCCTCTCGCTCCGGCCCCCCGCCCGGTGACCTTCCCTCCGCCGACCCCGGCAGCAGGAAACACGGCTCCCGCGCTGGCAGGGGCGGCGGGCGCGGCGCCCACTCCGGGCAGGGCCGGGGCGCTGGGATCGGGAGAAGCGGGGGGGGGGGGCTGGGAGGTATTTTCCCACCTACCATCTTATCCCCGGCGCTTTGACCAACTTCACTGCCCAGCGCCGCCGCCGCCTCCTGCGCAGGCGCGCACCGGTTCTCCTTAGCCACCTATCGCTGAGCGGCGAGCGGGCCCTAGGCCCCGGCCGCCTCCCTGGGAGCAGCAAGTCCCCGCCTCGTCGCCGCGCCACAGGCGCTGGAAACTCAGCGTCCGACTGGAGGGGCACAGGGGACTACATCTCCCATGATGCACCGGGCCGACGAGCCGGAGACTGTTACCCACCATGGGCTGCGCCGGCGAGTCGGGACTACATCTCCCAGAGGGCACTGCGCGCGAAACGGGCGGCAGTTTGATCGCAGGCCGAGCTAGGAACTACAAATCCCATGTGACATTGTGCTTAAAGGAGCCGCATCTGCACTCAGCAACCAGCGCTAAGGGTGGTAGCGGCTTGGCAGCCAGCGGTGTCGTCATTTCTCACCAGGGGGGCCGTCGAGGCGGTTGGGTCGGGCGCCCAATAGGAGCAGGGATAACGGCACGCGGCGCCACCCGGGCTCCGGGCTGGCCTCGTCTGCGGCGCCGCCTCCCGCTGCAGGTGAGCCGGGCGGATGGAGGCAACGGCAGCCGGAGCCTAGAGCGGCCACCTCGCCCCAACCCGGACGCGAGAGCCCGCGGCACCCGGACTGGCCGCCGCCCTGAGGTAGGAGCGGGCCGGGCCGGTTACCCCTGCGCCGGGAGGGCGGGACCCGGACCCTACAGCTGCGAGCGGGTTCCGGGCGCCGGGCCGGGCCGGGCCACTCGCAAGTGACAGCGAAAAGCGGGGCTGCAGGGCTGGGACAGCCCGCCCTGGAGAGACTCCGACACGCACAGCCCACCCCCCCCTCCCGCCACCCCCTCCGGGGTCCGCTCCGGAGAGACCGTGAGACACACACAGCTCCTCCTCCTCCCCAGAGACACCGCGAGAGACACAGCACAGCTCCCCCCCCCCTCCGGAGAGACTGTGAGATGCACAGCTCTTCCCCCTCCTCCGAGGTAAGTGCTGCCCGGCGGGAGGTCACCCCCCCGCCCTGAGCGCCCTTCCAGAGCCAGCGCCCCGAACCCCCTCCTGCCCCAGCCCTGTCCCCTTCCCAGAGCTTGCACTCCTCACTCCCTCTGACGCCCCCTGCCCCAGCCCTCTCAGAACCACCACCCCATACCCCATCCTGCACCCCCAACACTGTGTCCCAGCCCCCTCCCACACTGTGAACCTCTAGGTCCCAGCCCATAGCTTGCACCCCCTCCCAAACCCCAAATCTCTGTCCCAGCTGGGTGAAAGTGAGTGAGGATGCCGGAGAGCAAGTGATGATGGGCGTGGGTGGGGCTTTGGGGAAGGGGCAGGGTAGATCCTGGGCTGCTCTTAGGTTCAAAAAGTGATCTTGGGCATAAAAAGGTTGGAAACCACTGCTGTAATGGAAAACTACAAACTTTTGCTCCTTTCCTTATCTCTAGAGGGATTGAAACTGTATAGAACATGGTAAAATCTCTTTCAGATACATCCAGAAGCAAAAGTTGTCCCCTTCACACATGTGCGGAAATAGATTTATGACAAAACCAGCCAAATCCTGGTCAAACACTGGTTTAAAATCTGTTCCCAGTGAGACAGTTTGTTACACTACCTATTCCCGTATGTCCCCCAGTCTCCTCCAAAATTAGTGAGACTTGATAGCTTTGTCTCTTTAGAAGTTCACATTCCTTAATGGGATGATTTCTGCTCCTCATTCCCATATGGGCAACTTGGACCATGACCTTGCAAACACTTATGCATGTGTTTAATTTTACTATTGTGAGTAGTCCCATTGACAATGTGGCCACTGTTGGAGACAGGATACTGGACTAGCTGGACTGTTTGCAGTATGGTTGTTCTTATTTTCTTGATTGAACATCAACAGTTTCTTATTATAATTTTAGCTGTATTGGTATAGGATCTTCTCAGCACTTCTCTGTCCTACCCTAGTCTTTCATTACTTACATTCAAATAAAACTAGTAATTTAAATTCCACACTATGTGCTACAGTTCAGACATTACAGTTAACGAATTAAATATTCAAAATTAAGGCAATGTTCCTTTTTTCATATGACTTAAAATATGATGTCTCAGTATAATAAAATTTACAAATTCAGTTGGTAATATATATTTTTCATTTTTTAAATAAAGCAAGGGAATGCCATACAAGGGCTATGGTTAATGTAACTTTAGTTTTGAAAATTTAAACTGAAATCATGAAAGGCAGAGTAAAGTTTGAATGTTTATTCCATTCCCTTTGCTTATGCCTCAAAATATAGGATTTCTTCATATTTTTAAAGCTACTTTTTTGATGTTTTCCAAATTTTTGAGGGGAAGACTACCCTGCAGTGAATTATAACATGAAATTTCAGAGTAGCTTCTTTTAGTAGTATGGACTGTTGAGAATTAAGCTTATAACTGGATGATAAACTGAACCTTAACTATGGAGTAGCTACTATCATTCCACTCTATAAATTGCTTATCATTTAATACACTATTATGGTTTTTAAAAAAATCCCTCTCATTAACTCTTTGAAAAATCTTTTAACATATTTGGTTCATCCTATCTCCATGGTAGGTTGGCCTGTGAATTGCAAATCCATTTAGTTGCCTGTGATGCCCCATTAATGTGTGTGGCTTGGTATTTTTGTTTGGTTTTGTTTTGGTGTGTTTTGTGTTTGAGGGGTTAGTGGAAGTATACTACAAAGATATATTAAGTAGAAAGGGAAAGGACTAGTGAAGGTCTCTTTAGAGCAGTGATGTAAGTCCCTGTTCAGAAAAGAATTCCTATTCAGGATAGCACTTAAGCACAGGCTTAACTTCTAGCCTGTGCACAAGTCCCCTTGACTTAATGCTTGCATGCTTTCCTGAAACAATGTTATAAAGAGAAGGCCGTGGACTAGTGGGCAAGGTCTTTTGGGGGAGAGATGGCTGTGACACTTTTTGGGATTGGAAGGCACCTCCCTATCATGTGCCTTTAGCATGGGGAAGCCTTGTCTGTTCCTGCAATGGGTCAGCTCCCCAATTCCAGTGGCTATGGGCAACATAAGCACTCGCCTCTAGTCCTAGCAGGTCCCACTGTCAACTTTACTGCAGAGGCCCCCAAAGTGTGGGGCATGCCTCCCTAGGGAGGCATGGAGGACCATCTGGGGGCCACAGCGGGACTCAGGCCAGCCAACACGGGGGCAGGGAGGGAGCGCCACCCAGCCCCTCCCCACCACCAGTTCTGTTGTGGTGTGGGGCAGAAGTTGGGGGCAAGGCCGGGAGTGGAGTTGCACCTGGCCACGGGCCCAGCTATCAGCCCCCACCACAGCCCAGCTGCGCCTCTGCTCCAGCCCCCAGCCGCAGCCCAGACCCACCCCCAACTATAGCCCTAGCCTTGGTCCCCTTCCCCCTGTCTGTGTCTCCCCCTGCCCCCCCATCATAGTCCCTCTCCTGGCCCTGGCTTAGGGGGTAACGGGGGGAAGGCACAGACAGGAGGAAGGCGGTGTGACCCTCAAAAGTCTGGGGACCACTGTTTTACAGGTTAGTGATTGGCACACTTCAACCTTTGAGCCCCCACCCAAGCATCTCCTTAGAGTGTCCAGTCCCTGGTCCACTGAACACATTAGTATTCACAGATTTGCTGCTTCCAAAGTACCGGTACACCCCAGCTATCCAGTTCCACCTCAGATTACATTTCTGCTTAAACACATTTAAGTGCTGTGTGTTATAATGAAATCAAGTATTAAGTTTATTTAACAAAGCACAGAGTCAAATAGTAGCAAATGGAAGTACTGGAAACAAATGGTTACGTATAAAATCATAACACACATGCTAGAGCCTAGATTTCATAAACAAGGTACTTTCGTGTCTTGTAAAGTATTGCTCACTCAAAATCATTATAGCTAGGATGGCTGTGACCCTCCTTTCATGACACAAACACTCTGTCTCCTAGGTGAAAGACCCACTGTGTCTCTTTCATTGTCAGATATACCAAAACAATCCTTCATCTTTACTCATAAACAGGGCATCCTGCTGCTGTTCCTGTAGGTTTCCTCTCTTGTAGATTTCACAGTCTCTTATTTAGCCCCTGGCATAGTCTGTAAGGCATACCTATCCTCCATCTGGCCATTTGTGTATTGTATCTGTAACCTCCTGCCTGAAAGGGACTTTTCCGAGGTTTGTCACCTCCTGGTGACCTGCCATAACTTCAAGGCTTTAGGAGCATAATTTTCAGAATAGATACATAACTTTAAATTTTATCTGTACATACATTTCACAATGATTGCGACGAGAATGGCCATACTGGGTCAGACCAATTGTCCATCTAGCCCAGTATCCTGTCTTCTGACAGTGACCAATGCCAGGTGCTTCAGAAGGAATGAGCAGAACAGGTAATCATTAAAAGATCCATCCCTTGTTGTCCACTCCCAGGTTCTGGCAGTCAGAGGCTAGGGACACTCAGAGCACAGGGTTGCTTTTGGTAGAGACCTTACCTGTCACCGTTTGGTGAGCTATTATTAGGGTCCTACCAAATTCACGGCCATGAAAAACATATCACGGACTGTGAAATCTGGTCTCCCCTTGTGAAATCTGGTCTTCTGAGTGCTTTTACCCAAAACTGTACAGATTTCACAGGGGAGACCAGTGTTTCTCAAACTGGGGGTCTGAACCCAAAGGGAATTGCAGGGGGTCATGGTATTACCACCTTACTTCTACACTGCTTTCAAAGCTGGATGGCTGGAGAGCAGCAGTAGCTGGCCGGGTGCCCAGCTCTGAAGGCAGTGCCCAGCCAGCAGAAGCGCAGAAGTAAGGGTAGAAATACCATACTGTGCCATCCTTACTTCTGCGCTGCTGCTGGCAGCGACTCTGCCTTCAGAGCTGGGCTCCTGGCCAGCAGCCTCCGCTCTCCGGCTGCCCAGCTCTGAAGGCAGCACCGCTGCCAGTAGCAGCACAGAAGTAAGGGTAGCAGTACCGCTACTCCCCCTACCGTAACTCTGTGACACCCACCCCTCCCCCTCCTCCTTTTTGGTTCAGGACTCCTACAATTATAACACCATGAAATTTCAGATTAAAATAGCTGAAATTGTGAAATTTACTATATTAAAATCCTATGACCATGAAATTGACCAAAATGGACTGTGAATTTGGTAGGGCCCTAGCTATTATGAATATATCTGACCCAGGGGATCTCTGTAAAACCCTATGCACCTCCTGTGCCCTCTGCCAGTTGACCCCGAGAGGTCGCTGGGTCACTCCTTTCCAGTTCAGAGAGAAAGAATTTGGAAGCTCCCAAACTGAAAAGCAATAGATCCTGGGAAACCGATCATTTTGCTTACATAGAAGGTCTTTCTGTCTACTAGTGTCTCTAAGTTAAGGAGTTGGGGTTTTGTCCCTCTCTCTTTCTTGACTTAAGCAAATCACCCTTTGTTTGCTGTTCTGCTCTTTATTCTTTGGACCAGATCTTAAGGGTTTATAGTGAGCAATTAAGGAATGTATGCATTGTTAAATGCTTGGATCTCTTAACTGTTCAATTCCAGAGTAACATTTTAAATGTATTAGAGAGACACGGTGGGGAAGTAATATCCTTTATTGGAACAACTTCTGTTGGTGAGAGATACAAACTTTCGAGTCACACAGAGCTTTTCTTCTGACCTGAAGAAAAGCTCTGTGTGGCTCGAAAGCTTGTCTCTCACCAATAAAAGATATTACCTCCCCCACCGTGTCTCTCTAATATCCTTGGACTGACACAGCTGCAACAACGTCATTTTAAATGTATAGCTTTTTTTTTTTTTAAGTATACATTTTGGAGAGGTGTTAGCTGGACTCCATTACTTTCATAGGTTATGGCTACACTAAAGAGCTTACAGCTGCACAGGTTAATTGCTCCAGCCCCTGCGAGTGGTGGTAGCTGTGTCAGTAGGACAAGCTCTCCCACTGACATAGCGCTGTCCACACCAGTGCTTAAGTTGGCATAAGTGATGTCGATGGAGAGGGTGGCTCATTCACACCCCTGAGTTACATAATTTATGTTGAGTTAAGCTGTAGTGTAGCCTTAGCCATAGTAATTCTTTCCACTATTTTTTTGTTTTGTTTTTAATTTTGGAATATAATACCCAGGTCCACCCACCAATTTTAAGACCCTTCATTGGCTTCTTCTCTCCCTATTAATCAAATCAAGTTTCTCATCCTTGTTTTCAAAGTGCTCCACAGCTCAGGTCCTTCGTATATTTCCAGTCATCTCTGTTCACTCACTCAAGACACATGTCTACCTATGCTCTTCATGTCCTCTTACTCTCAAACTCCTATTTGTGCCATATTCTGTGATGCTGCTACCTGGAGCCCCCAATCCCTCACTCACTATATTACGTCCACAAGTATTAATCTTTCAAGCTCCTTAAAAAACATTTGTCTTCCAAATGGTCTTTAAACTCTAGCCTTATTGGCAATTTTTCTCTGGTTTAAAAACAGAATTTTAAAAAATGACAAACGCAGATATTTTTCACTGTGTGTATATATTTTTCACTCTTTGTGTGTATATATAATATTTAGAATAATAAAAAAACATTCATTTCACGGGCTCTGAGCACATTAATTATTTGAACAACAATTCTGGTTTTGTGATTTTTTTTTTTTTTTTAAATCCTCACACCTCTTCTGCCGCACACAAGGTCAGTGTCAGATATTAGCACATCTATATTGTTGTGAGTGAAGGCATGCTTTAGGCCTGATTGAAGCCTGCTGTGATTTTTAAGACTCTGTTTTGATAACCTTTAACAGCTTAAGCTTAAGTAGAACTGTGCATGTGTAAAGACATTGCAGACTAATTATGTTTAGTATTGTGCCTGTGTAAGAAAAACGCAGAGTAATAGTTTGTTTAAAAAAAAGTGTAGCCACAAAGCTAGAAAAAATTGGTTTGCACTAGCACAAAACCTGTGCTGACAGGACAAAAGAGTTAACAAAAAAATAAAAAGAACAGGAGTACTTCTGGCACCTTAGAGACTAACAAATTTATTTGAGCATAAGCTTTCGTGAGCTACAGCTCATTTCATCAGATGCATTCGAGTGCATTCACTGAACGCACCCGATGAATGAGCTGTAGCTCACAAAAGCTTATGCTCAAATTTGTTCGTCTCTAAGGCGCCACAAGTCCTCCTTTTCTTTTTGCGAATACAGACTAACACAGCTGCTACTCTGAAACCTGTCATAAAAATAAACTAATACATAAACATACCCTCCCCGCCTTCCTTCCTCCAAAATATAAAGAAGTTAGTCTAAACAATGGAAAGCAGAAATTGTATATGCTCCTGTGTTGGGGGTGACTTTGTGGTGAAACTATCCTAATGAGCTTCCCACTTGTAAGTAAATAAGAATTTCTTACTAAGTGTTTTGCCTAATAAAAATTTGTTAAACCAATCTGCTGAGTAGTAAATCTCTCAGTCAAATGTATACATTGGCTTATATCTCAATCCCCCATCTTTCTTCTATAGGCCAGTTGAAGCAAAGGTCCCTGAGGCATGACCTGAAAGTTGACAAATCTAAGCTATTTAGAACGGGGATAGGAGTGAATTCCAGAAGCTTAGGGCCCTTATGAAGAGCACTGTGCCAGCCCTTCCTCCTCTCTTATATCTAGTGACCTAGCATCCAGGGCCGTCCTTAGGATTTATGGGGCCCTACGCAGCATTAAACTGGTGACCCTGTGCTCCACTGAAGGCGGTCCCCAGTCGGCGCCACTGACCCCAGTGTGTCGAGGGGGCACAGCCATCACACCTGCCCGCAGACCCACAGAACCTCTCCCCATTGCTGACACACCCCGAGCTTTGTACACAGCAGATGCTGTGGCAGTGGCTTACGGCAGGCCTCACACTGTCACGTGAGGGCTGCATCTTGCCAGAGCCTGCAGCCCCTTGCCACTCCTGGCTCACCACAAGCATTTTAACAGGAAGTACCAAGCAGTAATAACAATAATACATGTGTATGCGTGTGCATGCGTGAGAGTGTGTATGAGAGAGAGCCAGAGAGAGAGCCTGTGTGTGTGTGTTGGGGGACTGTATGAAAGAGTGTGTTTCAGATTCTGTGTGTGTGTGTGTGAGATAAATATAAAGGGAAGGGTAAACACCTTTAAAATCCCTCCTGGCCAGAGGAAAAACCCTTTCACCTGTAAAGGGTTCAGAAGCTAGGATAACCTCGCTGGCACCTGACCAAAATGACCAATGAGGAGACAAGATATTTTCAAAGCTGGAGGGGGGGGAGAAACAAAGGCTCTTTCTGTCTGTGTGATGCTTTTGCTGGGGACAGAACAGGAATGGAGTCTTAGAACTTAGTAAGTAATCTAGCTAGATATGCGTTAGATTCTGTTTTGTTTAAACGGCTGAGGAAAATAAGCTGTGCTGAATGGAATGTAGATTCCTGTTTTTGTGTCTTTTTGTAACTTAAGGTTTTGCCTAGAGGGGTTCTCTATGTTCTGAATCTGATTACCCTGTAAGGTATTTACCATCCTGAGTTTACAGAGGTGATTCTTTTACTTTTTCATCTATTAAAATTCTCCTTTTAAGAAGCTGATTGCTTTTTCATTGTTCTTAAGATCCAAGGTTTGGGTCTGTGTTCACCTATGCAAATTGGTGAGGATTTTTATCAAGCCTTCCCCAGGAAAGGGAGTGTAGGGTTTGGGGAGGACTTTGGGGGGGAAAGACATTTCCAAGCGGGCTCTTTACCGGTTATATATCTGTTAGACGCTTGGTGGTGGCAGCAATAAAGTCCAAGGGCAAAAGGTAAAATAGTTTGTACCTTGGGGAAGTTTTAACCTAAGCTGGTAAAAATAAGCTTAGGGGGTTTTCATGCAGGTCCCCACATCTGTACCCTAGAGTCCAGAGTGGGGAAGGAACCTTGACTGTGTGAGTGTGTGTGTGTGTGACTGTGTGACAATCTGTATTGGGGAACTGTGACTCATGAGAGACAGAGTGTGTGTGTGGGAAGCGTGAGAGACAGTGAGTGCACTGTCACTAAGTTCCCTCCTCTCCTTGACCCAGCTACCGCCCCCTGACTCACCTGGACGTTTCGCTTCTCCTGGCCTGGTCTCTGCCAGAGGGCAAGCAGCGCAGGAAGGCAGGATCCAGGGAGGGACTCTGCTCTGGGCGGTGGTGGGCTGGGCTGCCAGTGACCAGCTGTGCCACTCTGGACTCCCCGGGGCTGGGGTAGCAGAGCCGGAGACTGGAGCCCTCTGCCGGCCAGCTGAGGACCAAGTGAGGGAGGTGGCAGGATTGGGGGCGGGGGGAAGCCCATTGGCCCAGTATGCGGGAGGAGCCGGAGAAGAGAGGATTCCAGCCATGGCCAGTGAGGGGAATGGTGCCTCAAATTTTCGGGTGCCCTACGCAGCCATGTATGCTGCGTATGCCTAAGGACAGCCCTGCTAGCATCATTAATGTGCTCATTGTAATTGGCAGTGTATCATGAGTAGAGAGGTGGTGTCTCAGTTGGACTGATCAAGTTATTTGTACTTGTAATCTTTCTTGACTATGGTTATTGCACCAAAGTTCAAAATTGCAGCTAAATATTAAGGCAGTTATTTACCTGTTCTACTGAAATTTGCTAAAATTTAAATTCTGCAATTCTAGAATGGCATGTTTAGATGGCAAATACTTTTTTTTTTTTTTTTTTTAAGGAAATCTAAGGCCTTTATTGGGTACCATGTTTGCACATAATTTCTGAACTAATGCAGACTGTGCACGTCCTTTGTCCATTATTTGAAATCCTACCATAGTTAGTGCTAAAGACACATAACTTTGACTATCTTTTTAAATGTTTATTTTGAATTATTTATTATCAGCACTAGGAGTTTGGTTTATAAATGATATTGACTGACATTTTACAATGTTTTCCTCAGAAAGGCACTGAAAAATGATGTTGAGAGATACTGGGATAGCTTAGGGAAATTGGTCCAAGTCTGTCTCAAGCTGGAAATGACAAAACGTCAGGAAAATCTCATTGCTATGTGTCCTATGTGAAATGAGAATTTTGCAAGCATGTAGTCTTATATGACTTATTTGTAGTCTCTTTGAGGCAAAGAATTTGTTTTTCTGTATCTTCTATAAAGCAGCTATTATATGTTGAGGTGGTATCCGTAATTTGACAATGGCATATATTTTTTTTAAATGTAGGCTTGAAAACCACAGATGGTTCATGGATATTGTAAAAAGAGCAAACTTACATACTAGTAACTAAGTCCAACCCTTATCTTAACAAATAAGTTTAAAGAAACAGTCCGCATCTCATCCAAAAGAAGCATGAGTGACCAGTGTGGTATTGCTAAGCTTTACAGCTTGATGGATTTAAAGCAAGGTATTATGTTTTGGAGAACAGGTAGCCCAGGAAAATAAAAATGTTACTAAACCAGAAAGATTTGGTGGTTTTGACTATCTATTGATCAGGGAGAACTCGCACTTCATTTGAGACTTTTTTTTAAATTGGATTTGATCCAGTGGCCCAATACTGAACCATGTTTGACAGCTAATGTGTATTATCTTTCAGCACAACATGTATATTCGAAATGCAAAAAGCATGTTATAGAAGGCTTTGGACTGTTCCTGGTTGTATACAGCAATACAATGAAGGCAACTGAATTAAATTCTCTATGGATATTGATTTCACTGCTTTGCTGCCAGTTATTGAACACTGCGGAGCATGAAGATGTAGTAAAGCATGCAATAAAGCTGCATCGTGGGAAAGGTGCTGCTGTCACACAGAGAAAACAATGGGTCTTAGAAAACTGCAGAAAGCTATCTGGGCTCCTTCGTCAAAAGAATGTGGTTCTCAACAAACTAAAAAATGCAATAAGATCAGTGGAGAAGGACTTGGGGCTGTCAGATGAAGAGAAACTTTTTCAGGTGCACACATTTGAAATTTTCCAGAAGGAGCTGAATGAAAGTGAAAATTCAGTCTTTCAAGCAATCCATGGACTCCAAAGAGCCCTTCAAGGTGACTACAAAGATGTTGTAAACATGAAAGAAAGTAGTAGACAGCGATTGGAGGCCTTGAGAGAAGCTGCAATAAAGGTAGTACTTTCCAATTTTACTAATGCATTATGGAGGGTAATATGGTGAAGGTTTCATAGGGATTTCTAATGATTAAAAAGAGGTTTAAATTCTTTTGTTTTGTATGAAAAATATGGATCTATACCAAACTTTCAACACTTATTCCTAGTGTAAAGACGGAATTTTGAGCAAAGCTAGCAGTAAATCTGTTCTCAGATAAGTTAGAAGTAATGTAGTAGTTACAGGGAGTTAAAAATATTCATTATTGAAATTTAGAGAAGGTTAATAATTAGTTATAAAAAACAGTCTAATGAGAACCCCTGTAACTCCCAACCCGAGCATTACTTTAGAAGGCAAAGGAATATGAGAGGTGAGACTATTCATATACTTTGGCAGTAATATAGCATTCTGTGTCGTAACTGCACTTCTTTGTGTGAAGACAAGGCAACTGAGATTGCCTTCTTTATAAAATAATCACTTTAAAGCACAGAAGTGTGATAGTGAAGCATGAGTGTTTCACTGACTATTTTCAGAGGAACAGCCGTGTTAGTCTGTATGCAAAAAGAAAAGGAGTACTTGTGGCACCTTAGAGACTAACCAATTTATTTGAGCATGAAGTACTCCTTTTCTTTTCACTGACTATTGTGGCTCTCCAGCCTCACCTTGATCTGTTAAGGTTTACCAAAGAGAGCCCCAGTCCAACAGACCTGGCAAAATTTAGAGAGACAAGGTGGGTGAGGTAATATCTTTTATTGGACCAACTTCTATTGGTGAGAGACAAGCTTTCACGCTTATACAGAGCTCTTCTTCAGGTCTCGGAAACTTATTCAGATTGTGGGAAAAGTTTGTCGGAGCAGGGCTGCTCTCTGGGGAGCCAAAGCAGGTCTCTGTGACACTCTGTACCCCAAAGTAGCACTCTGGAACCCCATATTCACTCCTGTGATATGATTAGGATATGTTTGGTTCAAATGCATGCCTGGCGAGGTATCATTTTAAAAGTCTTAATCTATTGAACATTAATAACCTGTTGGGTTGTATGTACTATCAGTGTTTATGGAATTATGAAGTATTGCAATATGTGCTATTGAAATATGTTGTGAGGTTGGGAGACTCTGACAATGAAACTTTCAGTAAGGACAAAGGAGCACCCATCACTGGCCAGATGGACGTTGATGGCCCATTAAGAAAACAATTGACTATCCCAGAGGCTCCTTACAGAAGGCACGTACACAATGGAGACTGCTTGACCAATGGGAACTGACTGACTGACCCCAATGCCACTGCAAGGATCTTTCTAGCAGCTAGAAGAAGGTGTAAAAAGACAGACAGTGACATCATCACTGGGCCTCTGCCCCTCCCCCCCCGGCCCCCATCTCAACACCTGGAAAATCTTCTGGAAGGAAAAGACTTTTTGAACTGTGAAATTTGGTCCCAGTCTGGAAAAGGGCTCAGTCTGGGTATTGAGGAACTGTCAGTTGCTTGTACCAGCTGTCAGGGTGAGACACTGCTTGATTCAAATCTTGCTTAGTCTCTTTAACTTAGAATTTAAACTGAGAGTTTATTTTTGTTTAAGTAACCAAGTTTGCTCTCTATGCCTGTTACTGATGATCACTTAAAATCTATCTCTCTGTACTTAATACATCTGTTTTATAATTTACCTAAAACAGTGTGTTTTTGGTTGAAATGCTAGGGGAATCTCAGCTCAGATTACAAAGGCTGGTGCATGTCCACTTTTCTATGAGGAAGTGGCAAACTTATTAATGGGTTTGCATTGCTCAAGAGAACCTTGAGCAGTGCAAGATGGTGTATTTCTGGGGTGCAGTGCTGGAGACCTGGGGGAATTGGCTGGATCCTTTATTGATGGTTCATAAGTGGCAAGGAGATCATTTATGTAACTCAGTTGGGTGCGTCTCTGCCTGTGGACGGCGGTGTGAATGCAGAATCTGTCAGAGGGTTGTAGCTTGACATCAGCATCACTGTGTGAGAGGCAGCCAGCCCAGGTTGGTGAGTTTGGAGGGCTCAGCAGTCCTACAGGTCAGCTTATACCCCACTGACCCTGTCACAGTCTCCCATCCAGAGAAAGTGCCATTATAGTGGAGTTACATGCCGTGCTTCCTTGGGCACGTTCACTGTAATCCTCTTGTTTTCCTTGCCCCCTCTCCATCTAATCAGAAATGTTCTGATGTTTACAAGATAGGAGGGAAGGAAATGGAAGTGAGTTGTTGTGGAAGGCGGAGAAGAGGGGAAGAGTGTGAGGAGGACATGGCTTATGTGACTGGGCAATCCTTGCAGGGGATGTAAGTGCTGGAGACCTGGAGGCAGAACAGGGGCATAGATCAGGGTTTCTCAGCCCATAGGTCAGAACCCAAAATTGAGTCACCAGAATGTTTAAAAGCGGTTCCAGTCCCACAGTGCTGGCTGGGCTCACCTCCTTGCTCCAGGCACTGCAACCTCTGGGGTCCCAGCACCATTCAGCTTTGGCCCAGCTGTCATGATGATTGGAGCCTGGGTAGGCAAATTTGAATGAATGGCACTTCAACCACATAAGAACGGCCATACTGGGTCAGACCAAAGGTCCATCTAGCCCAGTATCCTGTCTTCCAACAGTGGGCAATGCCAGGTGTCTCAGAGGGAATGAACAAAACAGGTAATCATCAAGTGATCCATTCTCTGTCGCTCATTCCCAGCTTCTGGCAAATAGAGGCTAGGGTGGGCAAACTTTTTTTGGCCTGAGGGCCACATCTGGGTATGGAAATTATATGGCGGGCCATGAATGCTCATGAAATTGGGGGTTGGAGTGCAGGACGGGATGAGGGCTCTGGCTGGGGGTGCAGGCTCTGAGGTGGGGCCAGAAATGAGTTCAGGGTGCGGGAGGGGGTTCCGGGCTGGAGCAGGGGGGTTCGGAGGATGGGAGGAGGATCAGGGTTGGGGCAAGGGGTCAGGGTGCGGGAGGGGGGCACTTACCTCAAGCAGCTCCCAAAAGCAGCAGCATTTCCCTCTTCCAGCTGCTATGCGGAGGCAGGGCCAGGTGGCTCTGCACGCTGCCCTGTTCGCAGGCACCGCCCCTGCAGCTCCCATTGGCCGCAGTTCCTGGCCACGGCACGCATGGAGCAGGGCAAGCCCCGAATCCCGCTCCCTGGCTAGAGCTAAGGGCCAGGTTAAAACTTCTGAAGGGCTGCATGTGGCCCCCGGGCTGTAGTTTGCCCACCATTGATTGACCTAGTTTCCGTGAATTTATCTAATTCTCTTGTGAACTAGATACTCTTCCTCTCGTCTGCTCCCTTCCACGACAACTCACTCCCATTTTCTTCCCTCCTATCTTGTAAACATCAGAACATTTCTGATTATATTTTCTACAATAATGGTTGGAGAGGGGGCAAGGAAAACAACCCTGTGAGCCAGGTCACAACTTCACTCTCACAAATTTGGTCCAGTTGAGGGTGGCAGGGCCAAACCTGAGCAGTGCTGCAACCCTGGAGGTTGCAACACCCAGAGCAAAGAGCCAAGTCCAGTCAGCCCCACAGCACAGGAGCTGCAGGAGCCACTACTGTGGGGTGTGTCAGGCAGAACTCAATCCCCCCGGAGGGCAGGATCCGACTGAAACCACTCTAGGGCAGGACTGCAACCAGAGCGGGGCAGCCATCCAGGGTGTGTGGTGGGGCTCGGTGGGGCCAAGGCTTGGAAAGGGAGCATCACCTCTGTGTTGGTGTCTGGAGTGGCTCACTGCTAAGAGTGCCAAACTCAGGTCTGACTGTCAGAAATCAGGGCAGACCCCCCAGGTTGGTGGTATAGTCCTCCGGGATCACTATATTAGTTTTACTATGGAGCCACATTTGGTTACTTCCAGCCCCAAAAGGCCAGTCACTTTCCCCAGGTCAGAATATGCTCTAGATCTCACCAAGGGCAATGCTGCAGCCCGGGGGTCGGAAGCCTTTTAGAAGTGGTGTGCCGAGTCTTCATTTATTCACTTTAATTTAAGGTTTCGCGTGCCAGTACTAAATTTTAACGCTTTTTAGAAGGTCTCTGTCTATAAGTCTGTATATTCTATAACTAAACTATTGTATGTAAACAAGGTTTTCAAAATGTTTAAGAAGCTTCCTTTAAAATTAAATTAAAATGCTGATCTTACACCGCTGGCACGCTAAGTTCACTGCTGGCCTGGGTTTCTGTTCACCTAGGCCGGCAGTGGGCTGAGCAGGGCCTGTGGCTGGGACCCTGGCTGGCAAGGGGCCGGCAGCCAGAACCCAGGGCCTGCAGCAGGCTGAGCGGGGCCGGTGGCCAGGACCCCTGAGCAAGTCAGCTCGCTGCCGGTCTGGGGTTCTGTCCGCCGGCTCCTGCCATCCAGAGTCCCGGCTGCCGGTCCCGCTCAGCCCGCTGCCGGTCTGGGGTCCTGGCGCTGTCCATACAGAGTAGGTACCTACTTTCTCCCTGGTTCTGGCCCATTCTCTTCCTCTCTCTGCACTGAGCTGAGGGTGGGAGTGCACTGAGAACAGGGCTGGGGGTGAAGGAGCAGGCTGGGGATTGGGATGCAGGGTCTGGCCAGGAGCTAGAATGAGGGAGGGGGCTCAGGGTTGGGGCACGAGGTTTGGGTGTAGAGCACTTACCTGGGCAGCTCCCATTTGGTGCGAGGGGTGCAGGTGGGATTGTGTGTGTGTGTGTGTGTGCAGGAGCTCCCGTTTGATGTTCAGGGTGGGGGTAGGGATGTGGATGTGGGGGTGCAAGAGTCGGCACAGGCTGTGGGGGGGCTGGGGCTGTGGGGGGGGCAGGAGTCAGGATGGGGGGCTGGGTATGTGTGGGGGGTGCCGGAGTCAGGGCTGGGTTTGGGGGGTGGGGTGCAGGGATCAGGGCAAGGGGCTGGGGTGTGCAGGGGTCAGGGCAGAGGGCTGGGGGTGTGCGTGTGTGTGTGTGCAGGAGCTCCCATATGGTGCTCAGGGTGGGGATGTGTGGGGTGCAGGGGTCAGGGCACGGGGCTAGGGTGTGTGGGGGGTGCAGGGGTCAGGGCAGAGGGCTGGGGTGGTGGG